TAATCATATATGATTATATCTAATCATATATGATTATATCTAAGCATATATGATTATATTTGGCCATTTTTCATATATAATCATATATGATCAATTTATATATAAATATATATAATTATATACAATTATATATAAACATTTTTTCTCGGGAACCCAAGTTTAACGTTGAATAACTTTTGAAGGAGTTGTTTTATCGAAAATTCATAAGAGAACTTTTTTGTAGAGCGTTCAATTTCCTACCAGAATATGCATCGATCAAATTTTTACTCCCATTTGTTTCTGAGAAAAAAAATTAAAAGTAAAAAGTCTAAAAATCTCATGTTATTTAAATGGGAAATATAACATGATTCCGGCACGGGTTAATGTGAAAATTAAGAGCCCATTTGTGTTGGATATTTTTTTTAGGTCATAAACTAAAGATTCAGGGGGCGATTGCTAAAAAAAAATCGATTTGGGAAATAACGGACACCCTACTACCTAGTCCCTCTCACTGACCCTTGCTACTTATTTTTCAATTTAAAATTGCCTTAATTATTTCAAATAAAATTTAAAACTCAGTCATTGCCACTTAGTGCCTGTGATTGACCTCGACGACGAATTTTTTAATTAAAGATTAATTTAATTATTCCAAATAAAATTTAAAAATTCATTAATGACCACCCAGTACCTCTAACTAACCCTTACTCCTGATTTTTTTATTAAAAAGTACTTTGATTTTTCTAAATAAAAAACTAAAATCATTCGTGTCTATCCAGTACCTCTCACTGACTCTTGCTATTGATTTTTTAATTAGAAATTTCTTTAATTATTTGGTTAAAAAAAAATAATTTATTCATGGCTACCTAGTGCCTTTAATTGACCGTTGCTACTGATTTTTTAATTTAAAATTGCCTCAATTATTTCAAATAAAAAAGAAAAAATCCAGTTACCGCCGCCGAGTGCCTTGCTACTGATATTTTAATCAAAAATTACTCTAATTATTTCTCATGAATAATTAAATTCAGTCACTTTTGCCCTGTGCCTTCGCCTGAGCCCCGCTACTGAGCTTTTAATTTAAGGGGCACACCTAGTGTGACAGCCAAAAAAAAGGCGATTTTTGGGAATGAAAAAAAAAAAAAACTAGTGTATCAATCGTTTTAAAATTTTGAGGGTATATTTATACATGTTTTGAAAATACACAGTAAAATTTTTGGAATAATATATTAAATATTTTTGAAATAACACGCGATCTCCGGCGGCGCCAAAAAAAAGGTCCTTCACTGCTGGAGTGATTGCAGCCTTCTCCGTTCATAAAACCTAAAAAAAAAAAAATTCTCGTTAAACAAAAACATATTGTCTGTAAGATGACCCTCGGGCGAACAGAAAAATCAAAAATTGACAAAATGGCGGCATGTTGAAAAAAAAAGTAAAATTTTACCCAAAATTTTGATCGTTTTTGGCCTACCAAAATCCGATTTATGATCAGATCAAAAAACTGGAGGGTCATCGTTTGGAGAACTATGTAGAGAAGATATAAAAAAAATTTGATAGCGATCGGATCATTTGTCTCCGAGTAATCACTCCAGCAAATTCGAAAAATGCTGTTTCGAGAAAAACGCGTTTAAAGATAAAATGATCGTTTTCACTTTTATAAATGGATTAAAGTCATACTTACAGCTAATCTGCTATTCCAGGCCCATATAATTCACCTTCCTCTTCCTCAAAAAGGGCTTGTTGAGCTGAAGAAGCTTTTTTTCGAGATGATCGACCCTCTTTTGAAGAAGCCCGTTGGCGATGATCAGCGATTCGTAGCCTCGTCTCATCCTTAAAAGCCGTATAATCTCTTATAGGCAAGCTGCAGGTCCAACTTTTATTCCCATTACATTAAATATCTTCAAAATTGAGAAGTAACCGTTATTGAATATTGAAGTTGCAAAAAAATTTGCTAATTCGATAGTTTTCAATCCATTATGAAGGTGCTTTGGTGAAAAGTGCCAAAGTAAACCGTTGTAATTTTCATTATTGTTTTGAGTATTACTACCTGTGCATCTATCAAGCAATTCATTTCGAGATAAGTCTTCATAAATAGGCTTTAGAGCTTTTTCAACTTCTGGATCCAGTGGGAGGTAATCGTGCTTAAACTTACTCAACATTCCTTCAGCTTCCGCGCGGCGATAAGCGCACCAACTTTCTGCGCCTTCTGGACAATTATCGTGGTTTGGTTTCTCATCAGTTGAACACAAATGATAAAACGTAGCCTAGATTGCTTTGTACATTCCGTCTATATTATCTTGATATCTCATAATTGCCAAACCGTAATATTTCTGAAGTTTATTTATTAAATTTACAGTTAACTTTTGCGTTGTCTTACTTCTTCCTCCTAACTTCTTATTGTTTTTTTTTAAATTTCGGCAACGTGTTCCCATTCTTTTTTTCACATGTAAATAGCATTCTAATTTTTGAACCGGAGTATCATAAGGATCCAAATCTAGTAAACCTTTATGAGTGGCACTATCACCATCGCCAATATAGCGAGAATATTTTACGCCATACTTACTAATGGAACGACCAAACATGTCTTTTACGCTATCTACTTCCATTTTTGAGACAGATCCCTGATGATTAACATCACATTCTTCTTCGTGTAACGATGACCATTCTTCGTAAGCTTGAGGATCGCTCTCTTTTCGTTTTTCCCAAAAAACACAACTCTGGCAGTAAGTAGACTTCACACATGAGTCAAGAATTTCTTTGCTGTACTTTCCTGCCAGCGTAACTATTCCAAAACGGGAAGTAAGACCACGTTTTTTCCAGGTACTGTCCCCGCTAATAGTCAAATTTGTCTCTGATTTTTCTTCTTTTGATGTAAGGTCTTTTTCTTTATTTACAGCTTGTTGCATACTTAGTTTACAAACGGTTTCGGCTGCAGTCCACAAATTTTTAAAACATCCATCAAAAGTTTGATGGTAAAATTTGCTTGCTAGATCCATTAGTCCGCAAAAAAGATTGATCCCATTTATTCCGACGCCCAAAAGACGCATCACAGCAACAAGACGTCTATTTATTTCAAATGCATTATCGATCATTGGTCCAGAATTAATGTACGAATTACCACATTCACAAATGACAGCTATTTTAAATCCCAGGCCTCTTGGACTTGCTTGATTAAACGTAATTTCCTTGTGACAAGTTTTGCACATCACTAAATTGCTGATTGCACTAAAAACTGAGACAAACTGTAGAATACAATATCCATGGGATGGGTCAATCACAATATTCTCATCATTATTATGCAATAGTTTCTCTGCGGACGTACTTGTATTTGCCGTAGATTGCTCAAATGTATGTTGGTTTCCAGTAAATTTTCGTTTTTTTGATTTTGATCGGTATCTGGGAACATCGTGAGTTCCCTTTTGATCTAAATAGGAAGATTGTTTACTCATTTTAAATTAAATAAAATGCGCTTACCAAGTACTCGATACAACGGTCAGAATAAAACTAAATGTATCTGGCTCCGAAAATACGTGACGTGGCAGTAAACGAAAAATATACCGAAATAATTATATTTAATTATTTTTGTATACCTGGAGGCTCACAATAGAAACCGGAATCCTATTTGCAAGAGTTAGAAAAGACGGTAAACTCCGAACAATAGCTCAGGTATGTCCCGTAGCCAATGCAACTACCTAACTGCCGAGCGGCTACTCTTTTAAATAGCTGTAACTCAAAAATTATTTAAGATATCGATTCAAAATTTTAGTATGTTATTTTTAAAGGTATCACCTATCGAAATATGAAAAAAAAATCGATTTTTTGAAAATTTCACACTAGGTGTGCCCCTTAAAATTACTACAATTATTGCTACTTAAAATCAAAATTATGTCATGGCCGATTTAATTTAGTAAATTCTCCTGTTTTTCCCGTCGAATTCATCATATCTTGTGCCTGTAATTAAAGAAATATCCTCATCCACATTCATACCTGCATTGTTGCCGATACACTCACACTAGTACACGATCTTACACATCCACCTAGCATCACTTACGTCCACCGTCCACGGCCGGTCCGTCCCCACTCTCTGTCTACTGCTCGAGAAGCCGGCAGTAGCTCTGGCATCTCATTCTCGCGTCTCTTACCGCCTTCTCACTCACTTCTTATTCTTCTGTCGCGCGCTCCTGATTGGTCACTTTCATTAATTGATAATTAATTACCTATGCGTCTGATAAAAAAATGGCTCAGGACTTTTCGTGTCAGAATATTTTTCTCTTTCGATCCCTACAATGGAGTGCGTGACTTCTGGGACACCCTGTATAGTTCCATATACTAAACAAATAATTCCATCAAAATTTAAGCTTTTAATTCTGATTTTACCTCTATTATTTTTTTAATTTAAAAAAAATTATAAATTTCAATGCAGCGAAGTACCTTAACAATATCGTAGAATCATTTTTGCGATTTCATGTATACATAGATAATTTTATAAATCTACATCTAGATACCATTATTATGTATATATATTGATAGTTAATAATAAATAAATTAGATAAAAAATTTTGTTCACTACGAATCGATCATGTATACGATTTACACTACTTGTAGTTATAACAAATTCTATTCTTCAAGTAAGTCTCTTAGGTAAACGGGTAGTGAATCGGTCTTTCAAGCGTCAGGTCCACGCTTCGATTCCCACTCGCACTGATTTTTTTTCCTATGGAAATAATTATATATAATTATACCTTATTATACATAATTATATAAGGCCATTTTTCATTTATAATTATATATAATTTTTTCTACCCGGGCGGGTATATAGTCTGACATACTTATATCAAAGCATATTTATAGTCTGATATGGCCAATTTCCATATCAGGCCTGATATGGACGATTTATATCAGGCCTGATATAGTCTGATCAGAAAATTTTTTCACGGGTTATTTCTATAAAAACAATATTTTCGCCAAATCATTCAGAAAAACTGCTAAATTGATAATGAATTTAACTTTGACCTCGAATTACTTTTGATTGAGTTGATTCTCCAAAAAATGATATCAGAACTTTTTTGTAGAGCGTTTAATTCTCTACAAAAATATTTGATGGAAATTGCAGTGGAATTTATTGTTCATTAGTTACAAAAATCAGAACAAAAAAAACTTGTTTTCCTGTGTTATTCTTATGGGAAATCGAAAAGTGCGAGGTAGACAACCTTAATGTTAATATTAAGAGCTCATATTTTGAGATGCCTATTTTGGCATCTAAGCAAAACTTTTGAGCCTGGTTCCAAGAAAAATGTTCGTTCTCAATTTAATTTAATTAATTTTATGTTTCATAATTTTTTACATATATAATTAATATTTAAAATTTCATTTACTGATTGCCTGGGTTTTTTCTCTTTATTGTTATCTTTATCTGAAGGACCCAGACAGCTATAAATTTGGTCAATTTTTAAATACTCGAAATAATTTCTAGTTTAAACATCTGTATTTCGATTTATTATTTACCATCCGTTTAGGTTTTTCCCATCTATTGTATTTTGTATACTTTAACCAAGACATTCGTATCTTTGGAAATTTTAAGTATTTAAAAAATAATTCTTATTTTTCAGCATGCAGACTAGCATGCTTTACATTATTTACAACTTAAGCCTAGCATCTGGATTTACATTTTGTTACCTTATTTTTTAAGCTAGTTTTCATATTTACAATACCCACATTTCTCTAATTACAATATTTTCCCAAGTTTTTGCCTAGATACCTGCAAGTCTGCAAGTCTGCAAGTCTGCAATCTATCATAAATCATTAGTCTCTTCAAGTCCTTACCTGATGTCAGTACCTCATACCCTCTCTTTGCGCCTAAAGATTGACAATATACACCCGCCTTCTATTCCTCTAATTAGCCAATAGTTCCTTAAAGTATCCTTCCTTACATTTTTCCGTACTTTTCCACCAATAATAAAGGTTGTTTTCCCTTTTCTTATTTTTTGCTTGACTAATTTACGCCCTAATCTAAGTTGTAATGTTGTACTAAGATTTTTGTATAAGTTAGTTCACTCTAAGATCTCATATTTAACACACATTGATTTTGTAACTGTCTACGCAGAATAAAACAGCATAACTAAATACAGTTCGTTTTTATTCGTGCATGCTAACAGTCTTCTCCAATTTAATAGTTTTGATTTTAAAAAACTAAGCTATAATAAAATAATTGTAGCTCAAAACAAAAAAAAAATCTGGAAAACGGTTGACCCTAAAGGCCATCCCTGCAACTTCCCGCCAATCCCATACCTAAACGCTTGAAATTGCACTTATGACGTTTCTGAGCTCTTCGAGCTCAAAAATACTATTTGTGTGTTATTTTGAGCTCTCTGAGCTCAAAGAAATAGCTTTCGTATGCTTTTGAGCTCTTCGAGCTCAAAAGTCTGATAGAATTTCCAAATGAATGAATCGATTTTCATGCGGTTGGTAGAAATTCGCGCAGTTTTTTAGATTCTATGATATACTTTTGAACACAAACTGATCGAACTGAAAATCTTAGAGAAATTCGAAAAATTCACTTTTTCCGAATTATTTCGACAACGATAACTCACGAACCAATCAACCAATTTCTACGTTCATGGTGATGATCGAAGTAATTTTTTGAGCTATAATAATTATTTTATGTCGTCAAAAACGACTTGAAAAGAAATCTCGAAGTTATGTGAAAAAAACACTTTTTTGGAAATTTTTCGGTTTCGATAACTCTCGAATGAATCAACCGATTTTGATGGGACTGGTGGCAATCGACGTGGTTTTTCAAGCTCAAGAGCTGATTAGTTTTGGGAATTGATCGGTGAAGTCATTTAAAAGTTATTCCAAAAAAACGATTATTTGAAAATTTTATTTTTGAGATTTCTCAAAATCTAGCGAACCGAATAGATTCAAATTTTCACGAAATTTAATGACTATAATACTCTTTGGATTGCCACCTATTTCGATCCAATCGGCCGAACCGTTCAAAAGTTATAAGAGGTTTACATACACACACACACACACACACACACACACACACACACACACACACACACACACACACACACACACACACACACACACACACACACACATATATATACAGCCGCACGGACATCATCGCGGGAATATTCAGGGAAGCTTTCTAAGACCTCAGAACGTCGAGATCTTATGAAAACTCGATTTTCGCAAAACGGTACGTACACTACACACACACACACACACACACACACACACACACACACACACACACACACACACACACACACACACACACACACACACACACACATATATATACAGCCGCACGGACATCATCGCGGGAATAGTCAGGGAAGCTTTCTAAGACCTCAGAACGTCGAGATCTGATGAAAACTCGATTTTCGAAAAACGGGGTGAAAACAATAACTTCCCGATTTTTGAAAATTTTCAATTTTCTTAGCGGGAAGTTAAAAATTTATTTTTTTTGAAACGCCCTAGTGTCTATACAGAATATAACATTAATAATATTTTCTATTATGTTTTTAGGTATCCTTCAAAACCGAAAAATTTGGAATGGAATTGATTGAAGCAGCGAAATACGGATCATCGAAAGCCACAATTTTGGGCAGACTCGAATTTCATTGTAGAGAACCTAAGTCAGATCCTATCACTTTTACTACGAAAGATTCTCATCTAGTAAGTATATGGTTCTTGGCTGCATAGTGATTTTAGATTTTCTGTCTATTGACTTCAGACAAAAACTTTGACAAGATTATAATTAAAGTTTCATGCCATCTTGGTCAAATGACTAGTGACAAATGTTATTGAGATGAGTTTTATGAACGTGGACTTGGCGCAATTTTTTACAGTGAAACTGTTTTTGTTCAGATCTTGCCATTCCATAAGCCAGGAAAGGATAAATTATTTCCCCAGAACTATCGTCCCATCAGTTTGCTTTGCACTCTGGGTAAAATATTAGAAATAATAATAAATAATAGATCGCGAGATCTTATTGATAAAAATAATATCCTGATCAACGAGCAATTTGGATTTAGGAAAAATCGCAGTACTGTGCAGCAATTACTGCGAGTGACAGAATATATTAGTTCAAATTTTAATAAAAATCGTAGTAGCGGACTGCTTCTCTTAGATATTGAGAAAGCATTCGACACTGTCTGGCAAAGAGCTCTGATCTATAAACTCGCAAACTACAATTTACCAAAATACATAATCAAATTTATTGCTAGTTATTTAAATCAACGTTCATTTAGGGTTGCGGTGGGGGACACTCATAGCTCTGAATGCAAAATAACAGCGGGCGTACCACAGGGATCCATTCTGTATCTGTAAGAAATAAGTTAATTATAAACACTATGTGCATAAGACCTATATTACTATACGCGACTTCTATATGGAGTAATACTAAAGGATATAATTTTGACCGCTTGCAGAAAAT